CTGGTTGTAGTCGACTATAACCAACACTGGCATACTTCTAGATTTTTGCAAAGCTAAAAATTTAACACCGACTTGAAAATGCTTTCAGAATATTGGACGAGCAAAAATAGTGCATGTAAAGAATACATACCAAAACAAAGAATTTTTACGGTCGGGCAATTGAGCAAAAATCCATGTGTCATTCGGGCAAAACATATAATTCTCATCAAAGTTGTTAAGAATGGATGGTTAAATATAATAACGCCAATATTAATTGCTTTTAATATACTTTGCGATATATGAAGAACACCTGTGTATGAATGATGGACCATTATGGCACGAAATCACATTTTGCCCCCCCCCCCGGAAAAGGCCCTTTTTCCTAAATTTATACAAATAACCCAGCGAAGAATAACAAATAAATAAACGGAAAGTAAGTTTTAGGCTTTATCCTTTGTCCTTGTTTAATAAAATCGATTTAAATGGGGACGTTTTTTACCAGTAAGTAATGATAAATTATTGTTAATAATTTATTTATTTTTTGTGCGTTTGTTCCTTCTTTTATTTCAAATACAAGTATAATTAGCATAAATTTTAGAGCAAATTTGGATGCTCAGAATGCGGGAAATTGCATTTCCGAGTTTCAAATTTCAATATTCTCAATATTTTTTTGCGAGTTTTCAATATTTTTTTTATTAGTTTTCATTATTTTCTGAAAAGAAATACACAACGATTTGGTGATCTATGAGAAAATCAATGTTAATCATAAGCAATTTTAGAACTAACTCTATGTCGGTTACAGGCAATGAATCCGAATTACTTGGTTAATTTAAGATAATTTGACCAAATTCTCCTTTGGCGCAACGATTTTATTTAGTCTTCCTAGTTTTCAAACAAAAATTTTCTTCCTTAACTTTGACCTTGTCCTACCTGGTACCAAGAAGCAAATATTTTTAAAATCACTTCGAACATTTTGAAGGAATATTAACATTAACAAGGAATAACGTCATGTTAGGTTAAACTGTTACAAGGTTGTCGAGCTACATGTGTTCATATATATATGCAGTTTAGTGCTATGACACATTTAAAAATCACTTCAATCTCTCCATATATGCTCGCATTTATTAGGCCTATTAAAACTTATACTTTGTCGAAACAGAGAATGAATGCCGCACCTGCCAAATGTTGTAAAATGCGGAAAACATAGCCATGTGAAATTGGAAAGTTTTGTATTAATTTGTATTACGCGCGGAAAAATGCACCACATTTGGTTCGAAAGTGATGCATTTTCCCGTGCGTATTACAATTTATTAATACAAAATTTGAAAATTTCGCAGGGCTATATTTTCCGCATTATACAACATGTCGCGGCCAAACGTTGCAATTTTTCTAATTTTAACATGCTTTGGTGTGGTGATGGATTTTGTTCTTCTTGCCTAGATCAAAATTTAGTCTATAGCTCAGCTGGAATCATCATCTGCGGGCAGCAGCAGGAATTGCCCATTGACCAATACATGACCAGTAATGACGCCATCTTGAAATTCACGTTTGGCGCAATGCACTGTGATCTGTCCAGTGTAATCTAATGCTTTTAAAGTGCTGTAAACAACAGCAACATATACAACCGAATAAGATTAATAATTTAAAACTTGGTTAAAGCTAGGTGTGCAAAATAACACAACGTGATGCTTATAAAATTGATCTACAATCCGTTTCAAATGTCTCGGGACAGATCCCAAAAAAACCTTTGTTTTCAGGTGCTCAGGAATTAAACAAAGAAATGTGCTACTATACGCTTCGGTACGATTTAAGTGGAAAACGGCCTTTACCCTGCATGTTAGACAACAGTGCATACTGATCTCCCGTACCAACCAAATGTACAGGGTGTCTCAAAAAAACGCTACGAAAATTCAACAGGCTGTTGTGCATCACAAACTTAACTAAACAGTTCAATTTACATAGGACGAAAGAGCTGTTATTTAGCTTTTCTACGATATCTGATTTCTTAATAGTCCAGTTAATCTGTGCCCAGAGGGTCAAAGAAATTGCAATAGAATTTTTCTCAGTGGTAAAATGTGAGGGAAGGTGCCCTGATTAACATACTAAAAATCCCAAAAAATTCCTTCGGTGGAACATGGTGAAAATCAAGTTTTTCATACTTTTACCTATAGAAAACCATTGTGGACAGAATGTTCAAATTTTGAAATCATTTTTAGGCAAATGTAACCTACATTACTGGAAAGCTTAAACAAAACTATATAAAGGTCAACTAAACCGTTATATTCAATTTACTGGTCAGTTTGTCGTTATTCTAGCTCAAAGTTCGAAAAATAGCGCAAAATTTGCACAAAATACAAATTTATGGCATTTTAAATCTTGTATAACTTCGGCTGGATAGGCAAAAGCAAGGTCACCGTTTAATGATCTATATTTTAGTTTTTTCTAGGCTTTCCAATGATGTATGTTATATTTGCAAAAAAAAATTTTCAAATTTCAACATTTTGTCCGCAATGGTTTTCTATAGGTAGAAGTAAGAAAAACTTGATTTTCACCATGTTCCACCGAAGGGATTTTTTGGGATTTTTAATATGTTAATCAGAACAACTTTTCACACACTTTACCACTGAAAAAAATCTACTGCGATTACTTTGATCAGGACCATGTGATTTGACTGGACTATAAGCCGTAACGATGAGAAATGGCCACATACTCGTCAAATAAAAATTTTCGGTCGAAATCACATTCTTCGGTTCCACCGTTGGGAATTGAAAATACATTAACTTTGCAAATTATCGATCCAAAAGCAACGCGAGTCTGCTGCAAAGTACTTGTTTCGCAAAACGTTTTGATTACGAATGTTCTCTGTTCAGGGGTTAATTGAACCATGTTTAATGCAATAATGGACGTTCTTATAGTCTCACTAAGACGACGATTGACGAGTTGAGCTCATTTTAGATAATTTGACATTCAATTTTAATTCCCTCTTGGTATCGTTTACGTTTCGTTTTCCATGCAATTCCCAACGGTGGAAGAATGTGATTTCGACCGGCAATTTTTATTTGACTAGTACTTGGCCCAGGGATGCCGGAACCACGGGTGCAGCGGGTGCAGTTGCACCCGTTGCCTTTTGTCTTCACAACTTTACGGGTGCACTACGGGTGCAGAATACGGGTGCAACGGGTGCACAAAGTGCCCTTTTTGCGTGAAAAATGTTCATTAAGAATTGCATTTTTTGCGCAAAGGGCATTTTTGAAAAATTCAATCTATGTTATTTCCGGAAAAATGTTTTATTTCCGGAAAAAATAACATTTTCCGGAAAAATTTTCGGTATGTCCGGAAAATTTTTTTCGTATTTAGGAAAAATTGTGGTATGTCCGGAAAATTTTTTTTACCCCTAAAATGGTACACTGACCAAAATATTTTTGGCGACGGGGGGGGGGGGAGGTCGCCAAAAATAATTTTTAGATGCCCTTTCATTTTCATTAGTGCCCTTTTGTTAAGGAATATGCCCTCTTGTTAACCAATTGCACCCCTTGCCCCCAGCAACTTCCGGTATCCCTGACCCTGACTTGGCCATTTCTCATCGTTACGATTTAAAAAGAGTATCATTGAAAAGCTATAAATATATAACTGTTCTTTCGTCCTATGTAAAAATTGAATTGTTTAGCTACGTTTATGCACAGCTTGTTGAATTTCCATAGCCACTCTTTAGACACTCTGTACAATTAAAGGTCCAGACACACCGGATGCGATTCGACAACGCGACGCGATTTTTCGATTTGCACTGACCGATAACTTTGATCCTAGTTTAAATTTTCCAAATATTTAGAAGCGCTATAACATTTGGAGTTATTTGGTCTACACGTCATTCAAAATTTGCTCCCAAAAACTAAAAAATCGCGTCTCGCGTTGTCGAATCGCGTCCGGTGTGTCTGGACTTAAGCCTGCCGCACACAAGACAAACTTGCTGAGCTAACCGCCTCGAGTGGCAGCTAGTAAGCTCTGCTATGTATTTTCACCGCACACGTTGGGAAAACTACTCAACAACAACATAATTGACAAATCATTTGCATTTTCCCCCATTTTAAATCACATGAAGAAACTATGGTTTCTCATTGGCTAATTGATTCTAGCAGCTCAGCACTAAGTTCACAACATCCGCAGACGCTGAGTTTTTTTCCTCGCGAGGTGAAAAATATCAAACACGATAGATATTTTCCTCAAGGCCTCGAGAGGTCAAATCCTCACGAAAACTATCCACACACGAGAGAAAGTTGTTCTCGTGTGCGGCAGGCTTTAGACAAGAGACAGTGGGTAAATTCACTGGATATTGCAACCAATATTTAACAGTTATTCTACGAACTCGAGTCGAATATGAGCTGATAGCCGATGAGGCGCGTAGCGCCGAATCGGCTATCGCTCATATTCGACGAGAGTGAGTGGAATTACTGTTTTATTATATACACAATGTCTGAATTCACAGACTTTGCTTTTCGAATATTTTCAATATTTTTCTATTTTGTTTTATATGTTTTTATCTTCGCTCTTTCGGCCGATTATTTTTTCAAAAATATATATTTTCAACCATTTTAAATATTAAAAATTTATTTGCTAACCTGAAAACAATTTGTGGGAGTTTTTCATTGTGTTTTTAATCCTGTGAAGGCTATAAAAAGCGAAAACTTGCCGTTTTCTCGTTTGCAAAACATCGTAAATTCAGTTTGGCCGCCATTTTGTTTTTCTCTACTAGCAGGATATGAGCTAATATCCTGCTAGTAGAGAACCAATCAGATTGCAGAATACCTCATATCCAGACCTTGTGTATATAATAATTGTCTATAGTTAGACAAATATTGGTTGCAATACGTAAAGAAGGAAAGAGTAAAGAAAAAATGTCAAACAATTGATGTTGAAGTTAATTTATGCTGGAGCACATTTAAAATTATTTGAACATTTCATATTTCTCAAATATATCGTTCAATCTTTCAAAAAAAACAAGAATCTGAATTTTCAAAAGTGAATCAGCAATAAAAACTTTCTGTCATTTTTGACACTAACTGTATGTTGTATTCAAGAACACTTTGCGCAGAATCAAGAACAACCGACGAACCTGCAAACCATGTTCGCTTAGTCCCTTGAATATCAAATATATCCCAAAGAATGCCAGCTGCCATATCCTGCGGTGAGAATCTTAGGAAGTGTGTGCACATTTTCCTCTGAATTTCTTCGATCTCCGACGCATTCATTCCTGTGAAATGCTTTTGAAATATTTCACTGAGTGTGGGTTCATCAGTTTTTTCTTTTATGTGCTGATTTGTCGTTCCTGATCGAGTGCAACTACCATCTGTTCCTCCAGAACGGGATCCATCTTCACAGGTTGGTTCATGTTTCTTTTCAGTGGCAGTTAACCAGATGTTAGAGGCTTCGTCGTCGAGGTGGCCATGCAAAGATTCGTCCAACATGATCGTAGACCAGGGCAATGTAGATTTAGAGAAGATACGTTTATCCAGTTCTCTTGCTTCGATTAAATGCAGATTTGAAAATAAACTTGATGTCCAAATCAGGAAATCAAATTCTTCCCATTTTTTACTTGTTGAGAATTTGATGAGTACTTTATCATTTCTTCGAACTATTTGACTGATCTTAACAGTGAAACGCACGTCAATCTTCTGAGACGTTTTCAGAGTCTCCCATAGTTTCTGGAGACCGCTTTCAATTGGATAGGATGATGCTTTTTTCTCAAATATACCAGCTGCACACCCTATCAAACGGTTGGGTGTGTTCCACATTAGACCATATAGAGCAGATACATCATCCACATAACCATAACCTCCTGTCTTTGACATGACCAGTAGGGGTTTGAGTAATGTGAGGCCATATTTTTCGATGAATTCCAGAAATGTACAGTTAAGTATCTTCATCACTTTTGGAGGAGGTTTTCTCATCAGTGCTCCATCGTATTTACCAAACAATTCGCGATGCAAATGAATGTAGTCTGTTATAGCCGCGAAAAGCTTTTGGACAGCAATTTTTGGATCATTTAATTTCATTGCTTCGGTAAGGGTGTATGATGAATAGTTAACGGAAGTGGAGAGTTGATCCAATGGAGCGTTGAAGAAAGACAACTTCGCTGATTCCAGTAGTCCAAATTTACGCGCAAGTTCAATCACATTGTTCCCAACATCAGGTTGGACATAGCAAGTGTTCATGTCAGGTAGAGTATCGCGAAGCATTACGGTACAGGAATTTTCACCAATGCCTTCGTTTTTCTCAAACACTACAACATTTTGAAAACCTTTTTTCTTCAATAAATAAGCCATATGTATCCCAGACGGACCAGCACCAACAATGGCAATTCGATCATTCAGACATTTCGGTGACGGGATACGTTCGGAGAAGGGAATTCCTTTCGGCTTATCGGGCGATTTGACAAACTCAACAAGTTGTTTGTAGGCCTCCTGAGGAGAAAAACTTTCTGTCATTGACCATGTCATCAACTGGTAAAAGAAGAGCACTATGATCACGGCACTCTTGGATAACATCTGTTCAAAGTAGAAGAAGAATCTATGCTTCATAACAATCACTAATAAATGCATCTTTGTTTCCTTATATTAATTATTAAAAGTATATATCGGGAAAAGGGAGATAGAAAGCCTAGCACAGGACGTAATCACAACGTTGCGCGAAGGTTGCAATTTGGTTTGGTCCGACCTTACCTCTCTACAACCTTAACAGCACATTTTCCTAAATGCTACATTTGATTGGTAAAAATATTATGTGTGCAAAACGTTTAGGGACGTTTCACTGGACGTCACTTGAACACCTTCTAATAACGTCGTCCATGGAACGTTGAGGAGGAAAATTGTTTTGGCCAACGGTTATTAAAATGTGAAGTCGGCTATTTTGCGAGCTGCGAGTCGCGAATCGCTAGCCATGCTTTGAATGAAGCTTTGAAAGAAAATTAATATGGACGACATGGAAGGCGAAGTTTTTTATTTCATAAATTAAATTCGTTTCAACACAATTAAAGGCACAGTTCAGCCTTTTGAATGATGTTTTTTAAGGCGCATTCAGTCAGCTTTTAAATGCATGAAAAGACTAACTAGGAAAATCAATTATGCATAATTCAAGATCAGTAAACTCGATGTTTTTAAATTAACAATAAAAATGTTCGAGTTTGCTGATCTTGAGTTATGCTTAATTGGTTTTCCTGGTTAGTTTTTTCAATTAAAAGGGCGACTGAAATGCGCCTTAAAAACCATCATTCAAGAGGCTGAACTGTGCCTTTAAGGCCGTTTCCCGTGCACTTCAGACGCAGCGTAGTGATCGTACCGAAGCGTATTTCTTAATTGTTTCCTGAGCAACAGAGTGGAACTAATGACTTCGAAAAAAAGCTACTCACGGTTGAAGTGGAAATCGGCCTTTACTTGACAACTTGTTTGTTTACTTTGTTAGATCCATAGGCATGTTCAAGAATTTATAATAACTAGAAGTTACTATTGCAAGGGAAGTGCTGTGTTACGACCCAAAGTCTTGGGGATTGATTATACCAAAAAACTTCATTTATTTAAATTGCCTTATACAGTATATACACTGTATGTATAAATTTATTTTATTTAATAGTGCAGTAATTATTATATACTGTAAACTGTACTTCGGATTTTCATATTTACACATGTTATTGTTGGTACCAATGTTTTAAACCGTCTTCACTTGTCAAAACGTCTAGAAGAACACAATTAGGAACAAATATATGTGTCTTTTAACATGATATGATTAGTTTGTTGCAAGTTTTCACATTCTTCCAAGTAATAATAGTCTGCTGTATTTTCCAATTGGTAAACAAGACAGTGTCATTGATGGTTTTTTTGTCCAATATGCAGATGTTTCGTATTTATTTAGCATGTACAGGTACATAGTGTCCATTGTTGGCCATCATATTGTCCAATAACTTGTTAGGTTACCGTACATACTGTATAAAGGTATGTAATATCTTGACATAGTAGACATACAATGTTCCTGACATCCATATGGTAGATTGGAAACAGGTACAGTAATTTAATAATACATGGCAGATTCCATATCCCATTGCATTAGATGTACTGTATTGTAATATATCCAATCTTGTAAATCAGCATTCTTGTTTAATAGAAATACATTTCTGTTAATCCAGAAGCTCCTATCCATTTTCATGAGATGTACAGTAATATATCCATATTATATTTTGGCTGTAACAACCACTTGGTTTCATCTAGCAGTTATCATGGCACCATTCACATCCGTCAGAATTGCAAAACTACAGAAAAAAATAATTGGTAGCATGAGATATTTATGTCGAAACATAGTGGCACATAACTGAGTGAAAATAAAAGAAGGGCAGGGGGAGGGGTTAAACAAACAAAAAACTTACCCTTCTTCTGTCTTGCAAATCATAATATTTTCATACATACAGTGATAACAAGGTGTAAATTAGTTATTATATAATAAATTAAATTATTTAAAAAGGTATATAGTCAAAGTACATACCAAACTACAACTGGGATCCATATATGAATCCCTCTCTTATTCAAACTCAATAGTTTGTTGTTCTAAACGCACTGCTGGTAGCCTGTGCTAACTGATCTAGCCTGTTTTCTTCTTCAAGCCTATACTGTAAGTTAGCGGATGATTTTAAGCTTGTTAATCGTTCATACGTCATTGGTTCAATGACACAAGAGGCAAGTGATTTTACTCTGCTAATAGCAACATAAGAAACTCCAGCAGTTCTTTCAGATTTACCAATATCTATCCATGCTTTCGGAAGTGTAAGTCCTTGGCTCTTGTGTATTGTTAGAGCCCAAGCAAGCCTAAGAGGTAACTGTTGCCTCTCATGGAAACCTATTTCTGTCTGTGATGTGACAGTGATTGGACATATTGGAATACACAATGGTTGGTTTTCATTAAAAACAGGTCCTCTATAGTTTTCAAATTCTACTATTACCGCAATAGGTAAGTCAGGAGGTTGATGGTTGTTCTGATAGATAATATCAACAACTGTGCCAGTAGCCCCATTGCAGAGGCCAACACTTGACCACAAATTCATGGTTAACATGACCCTAGCACCTTTTGCTAGAAACACAACAGGTTCTAACCCAGACATATCATCTGAGGATATCTTTTTGGCCAATGCTGATGAATGGCGAGCATTAATATGAGCAATTGGATGCTCAAGTTTTGTTAGTTGCTCATGGTTGTAATTACCAACTTGTTCATTACTATAAAAGAGTCTAGTAGAATCTTCAAAATCACATAAATTAGTGACATTTGATGGTTGACGTGTCAGAAGTAACTTCCAGTCATCAACTGTTGAGTCACCTTTGCGAAGTCGCAATAACAAATCTCTGAACTGTACTTGCTCAGATGTCATACCTTGCACGCGTTGATTTACAGTGAGTTTAACAACTTTGTCAAACATATGATATGCTTGGTGACCTTGTTCACCAACAGCATTTGATGGTCTAGCATGGTAAAGAGGTTTATCTGCTACTGGTGGCAATTGACCTGGATCACCAGTTAAAATCAATGATTTTCCTCCAAATACTTTGTCATTACAACCAGTTGCTTGCTTGCAACGTTTGTCTATCCAACCAAAAGTAACTTGGCCAAGCATAGAGTATTCATCAATAATGATGTATCCAATGTTATTAACACTCTCTTGTAACCTACACAAGCTTTGTCCGGTTAGGTCTTTATTACCTCTTGATCCTACAGGTAATTTTAATAGAGAATGCACAGTTACACCTCTAATGTTAAAAGCTGCTTTACCTGTGGTAGCAGCAACAGCACATTTACTTTGCAAAAGATTTCTAATAGCATTAATAAGGTAACTTTTACCAGTTCCTGCAACACCATTTATAATGAGACATAATGGCTCTTTCTCGAATAATGTATCATCAAAATGAGACTTAACAATATTATAAGCAAGTTTTTGCATTTCACTAAAACTGTTGATGTCAACAACATCATATTGCTCATCAACAGTGTATTCCTCTTTGTTTGTTTTTATCCATGTTGGCATTTCTTGAATTTGTTGTTCTGAATAATTGGCTCTGTCAAGATGCCAGTCATATGTGGACTCTGGTGTTTGTTCAGAGTTGTCAAAAGGAGTGTTTAGGTCTGATAATATCATCCACTCTTCTCGAGTTGTCTCCTGTTCTTCAGAAGGTTCATCTTCTGGTTCTTGACTTTGAATGACAGCTTGTAGTTTATCAAACCAGTCTGGGACATTAGACTGTCCATAAGGTCTTTGTAAGAATTCATGCCAACAATTGATCAGAACCTCGTCAGTTGGTTCTTGGTCACCCCATGCATTACTTTGGGTTGTTCTCCAGGGTTTAAACCTCAAAAGTTGATATTTACAATATAGGCCAAAATTTGGACCTTTGGGATTAGGAGAATATGTTGGAAATATTCGTGGTATAATATTCTCTGGCAATTTTGTCAGTTCATTGTTAACAACTTTGTATGTTGCGGCAAATTGAACAAAGTTCATATTTATTATATTTTGTTATAATATAACTCTCATATTGTTCACGATTAGCATACACATCAAGAAGTGAATAATCGGTGCACGATTCACCCTCATCAATACTTGCAGTATCACGCACTCTACGTGAACCATTTAGACTAACTGGCATCACTTTAAATGATGAGCTGTGGAGTTTTAAAGACAATAAATGATGCATTGTCTCTTGAGCTGCATAATCTCTTTCACCAAGAGATTTCATAACTACCTTCTTAATAACTCTACGTGGGTCAGTATTACTGTCAACATTTTGCACAATAGAATTGAATGCCTGTTTCAATATAGGTGATCTTGGCTCACCTTTAGCTGCATATTTTGTGAGATATTCAACACAAGCATAGTGATCAATAACAACTTGAATATCACAGTTAGCTCTCCATCCTTGGAGCTGAAGTTGTTGATGGTTATTTAACCTACAGTCATTACGTTTAGTCACAATCTTAGCTCGATAATGCTCATTATCACCTGAAGTATGAATTTTTTCAAATTCTAATTTTGTCTTAGGACAAATATCAAAAGGGAAGTGAAATCTACATTTCAACTCTGTTTCATTTGACTTCTTTCTAAGACAATAACTTGTACTACAACGAGTGTGTCGTTGAACCGTGTTCAAAAGATCTACATAATCTGATTGTTTTTCATGTTCAGGAATGTCATGATGACTTCTTTGACATGGATGAACCTCAGGTCTTATCCACATGTCCTCATCTGGTGGATTAGGATTGACGGTTGATAACAACCAATCAACATACTGACATACTGTGTCAGCTGCTTTCTTACCAGCTTCAATATCCTGGTCTAGTTCAGTTGTGTCAGAACAATCATTTTC